AACACAACACAACACAACACAACACAACACAACACAACACAACACAACACAACACAAGTGCATCATTGTGTTGTTTGTGAGAAAGCCCAGCAAAAGAACTACAAGCAAGTCACAGGAATCCCAATAGTCTGATATTAAGCAGGCAGGCAAACAGGAACGTTTCGGGTCACAACCAAGGAAATCAAACACAATCAACCGGTAACAGGTATAGACATAAGCATTTACAGCGAAACAAACAAACAATTGCATGCAATCACCCAAACTACCTGTACAGGAAACCTTTCCGAGTACAAAGAAATSATAGAACCAACACGGTACAGACAACTATAATTGATTCCATCTCCGCCGGCAATGTTCAGCCAAGCATAGCACTCTCATTCAAGTTGTTTATTCAAGCATTTCTCCTAATATTGCAAATGATAATCCTCTTAAAAACACAATTGCACAAACAGGTCTACTKAATGCCTTTTCCAATATCGTACTCTTTTACCAAGGCATAATACTTGAAGCAGATATCTAACCAATTTTTAAAACCCTCTCCAATTTTATCCATTTATAGTTTTACTTCAAAAAACAAMATATCCCAATTAAGTGCGTAATTTCCATGGTTACGTTACAACAGTCCTGGGGTTTTCTGTGGGAGGTTATATAGAACTCGATCAAAACGTTCTAGTACCTCTTTTCCAGCGAATGACATAACTTTTATTTTAAGCTGTGTGGAAACAGACATACAAAGTTTTGTCTTTGAAGAACTGAAATACAAAGCAAAACTCTATGACAAGAATGACCCAAAATTAATATGGAACTTAATTGATTTGACTTCCTTTGGCGTCCCTTTAAGAAATAGGARCTGACAGAGATATACGCAGTTCGTTATCCCTTTAGTTCTTGGTCCATTGTACCTCATGAAGACACTGGCGATGTATCAGGGATACAAGATATGGGATCACGAGTATTTGGGAATATGGGAAGGCAAATTTACAAGAAAAATTGGGTTCAAAGTTTTGAGTGAAAACTACATGTGGAACGAATTTTGAAAACGAAATGCAATAAAGGAAAACTTCTTTTGACGAGCATTCAGAATTTTTGAAAGAAAATCTTGTAAAGCTTGATAAAATTTGTAATGAAATCTTCTTTTTTTATCTTTCTATTTCTTTCTTTCGCTTGGTCAATTCAGCAGGACAACTCAATGCCATTGTGAACAACTTGCTTCCCAAGCAACCGGTTCATTTCGTTTAAGTGCAAAACTTTGATTTCACAATAACATTTACCAAATTAGAAAATACTTACAAATCATTGATATCMCTTCGTCTTGATTCTCTTTATTCAAAAGTTCATATTTATTAATAATGATAATAATAACATCAATCCTTGTAATAAAAAAGGAATAAAATAAATTGYATTCTCCATGAAATGAGGTCAACAATTAGATAATGCAGGGCAAATTGAAGAGAAAATTTTGCTTGAAAAACTGGCATAACTGATATAAGTGAAATTTTTATACCAGCTTCTCTAATAATTTTAGACCATTGAGCTTTGCTTGGAATATTCAGTGGTATGATAACGATTTTCTTTAGTAGTTGAAAGCAACAGTTCTTACATTTTTCTTCTTCTCTTTTTTTATTTTTTTATTTTTTATTTTTTTATTATTTCATTGTCTCTATGTTATATCCATCCCATATTAGTATTTCTAGCATATTCCTAGACAATGAATCGGGCAAAATAATCGTACGAAGTGCATTTTTTAAATGTTTCTCAAGAGAACATGACACGAAACAGGAAAATAGAAACACAGCACGTTTCTAAATCATTTCAGATGCACGAGCAACTTGAATCTCTTCAGGAAATATTTCCATCATAAATTTTCCTAAGTCTGTACAGTCATGGTGTTTATTCGAAATTGTGTAATAGACGAAACCAATCCAAGCTTTGTTATAAATCACAGTATTTCTTATTTAAAAAATCAATAATGTTATATTCTTTTCAACATTTTTATTATTGTAATGAATGCCTTTGATAATATCATACACAACTCAGTCTTTTTTCATCAACCTTGCTTTCAGTAACAAATTAAACGTTCATCTTTATTCATTTTATAACAAATATTTTAGTAGTCAAATCATACGTTTGACTGTATTTAGTGTGGTGGGAACCCAGAAGCGAAGGATAGCCGTGATTTCTGGATGGTTTTTCGAATGGTTTTCTCATTATCATGTATTTCTATTTTGGTGTCAGAGGAAGAAACGATGACGTCTCTCGACATGGAATCGGGAATATCACGGGGAGATGATGCACAAGAGGCTTGAAGTAGCTCAGCATAGGTGCTATTCATTTTGAGCGTTCCTTAAGGTAAATACGGCATTTGCATGGCCATAGCTCAAAAACCAAGTCTTTCAGGAACACAATACAGGCTATTCATGTCATACAACGTTATCAGGATATTCTTTATTCTCCTGTGCCTGAAACCGCTTCGAAGTAAAGTGGGACTCATTTTAGAAAASCACTGAAGAGTTTGGCTTGCCGCTCGTTTGTCTTCTATAGCTTAACTGTAATAAGACACCCTTGTACGTGAATTATCATCAACTGAATAAATCTGCCAATTATTTGTTATTATTTCATTCTCCGTTTTTACTTAATCTTTTATCACGACTATTATATCTACGTATTATTTATAACTATAATGTACACACTATATAGAAAGAATACCCAAGAGGTAGCACTATAAGCTGTCATAGGCAAGTGTGACAATATTTGAGTTTTAAGTTGCCCTAAGCGGCATATTACACTAAGATTTAACCATTTAGGTTGGGTATTATTTGCTTTTTCTTTGAGTATATCTTTATTTACTGRCTTCCTTCAAGTAATATTTATCTCTTTTTGTGTTCTGTGAAGAAGCTATTTAGTAGCCAGATCAATGGCTCCTAAGCTTAGGCGGTCTATTTCCTTACTGACTACTTCCTCTTTATTTTTTCAAGTAAAATTAAGAGGCATTTTAGGATGCTTTATCAAAATACACTGATTAGTTGTTCAGCCCTCTAGGCGTTTCATGTTTTCGGTCACTACAAAGTATTTCGAATCTTGCACAAGACAGTTATGAGGACAATCTTGAATAGCAACGCTGGCCATTGTACGCCCACTGCTTGATTAAAAACACATTCCAATTATTTTGCTCGTAATRATAAATTCAAATTCCTTTTTCCTTCAATCCTCATTCTAGTTTTTCATTCACCAAAAAATATATAATTTAGCGAAAGAAATCAAGATTTCCCCGCCTTTATCTACCAGATATTTCGTGGTCAGTAGCTTGGTATCACTCTGGTACCCCATTGGGTCATTTTTTCAGCTAGTTCAGTTCCCGCGTAGATAACAAAAACTCATCTCTTCAATCCCAAAAACCTGTATACGTTTTTTTTTAATTTTCAACCATGGGAATAATAAAGCWGTTTTTATGGCTTTACTATAATGATGTCTATTTGGTTCATAAGTTTGGTTTCAATTTTCAATGAGGCAAGTTTGGACCAAGGGAAGTGAGGAGTCTCAAAGGAACCATACTATTTCAAATCTTACTTGTTTTATTAATAAATATCTACGGAAACATGAGTAAATATTTCAGTCATATTCGACGTCCTAGTTCTTATATCCAACGGAATTATATTGGCACCATCTCAGTGTACGTCTTTATTGTACAGGATTCGGCAAAAGCAGTGAAACCTTTTCTATTGTGTACTCTTGTATTGCTTTTGATCTTGAAGTAAATTTGTTTGCCGATCTCACAGTATCTGATCTCTAGCGTCGGTCGTAACTTGCTGTGTGGACCATCAGTTATTACTGGTATTAGCGTCGGAGAACCCATCACTTTGGATGGACTAAGCGTTCTACGTACGTTGATGAGACGAATTGAAGTATCAGAAATGTCTAATTAACCTCTATGTAACATCGATTTGTCGATGCCAAAACAAATGTGCTTAGCTTGGTTTCTAAATTTAAAATCTCTCTACAAATTAATATTCTTTTTTTGTTTCAGCTGGGGACGCTCATTATCTGGGTTGGCCCTGTGGAAAGACGCCACACAAAAAGCCGGGACAAGAGTCTTCCACTGTCCAGCACTCAGCAGTCACAGGAGATTTCTTATAATGTTTACCGTTTAGCACRGCAAAGCAAAGTCAGATCCCGAATATTGAGATAAAACTATACCCAGAAATCATAACATAAAATGACAGGACAATGACCTTAAACAAGTGAAATAGACCACTAAAACGGAAACGAAAATACTGTTGTAAACTCAGTCCACTACCCAAAGGCGTCAAGCTTGTATGTGGATACCTGTAGTACAAGTGATCYATCCAGTAGGCATGTTTTGACTTCTTGTAAAAGAGACAGACTCTAAAACAAAATAAAGGAATTTTTTTTAAGAAATGGGAAAGATACCAGCAAACCGGCATAGGACATTTCATGATGCCTTTCTTTTTTTTTTTTCTTTTTTCCATTTCAGCCAAATAGTGCACATTTCACCATGATTCAACAAAATCACACATGCTGTCGCTCACGTTAATATAAATTCAAATTAATCTTTAGTATGAGAATGATCTTGTGTTTTCCTTGCTGAAATAAAGAATTATTGTTTGGCCCGACAATATTTATATGCAATTTAATGATATTGAATTGAGAAATCCCACGCTGTGTTTGCTGAAATTACTTTCACAATAATCTTCCTAGGGTATCATGTCAGCACGGAACTCCACATCTAGTGTGGAAAAAAATTGGCCATATTTGCTGTTTTCAGTTCAGTAACTCTAGTCAAGCGAATCTACAAAAATACAATTCCCCGACTTGCTCTTTTCATGATTACTAGACTATCCGTTTTATATTTACAATATTGTTTTCAAAATGAACATTATTAGGCATTTGCAAAAAAAAAAAAACCTTTGTTAACAATAATGAATGCTATGTTGTCTTTATCAACCCCTTGTATATTTCAATTTCATTTGATTGCACTCTTCATTTCAATCCAAAACTACTAATTCCGATAATATTTTCAGTGATTTCCTTGATGGTATAGCGATTTTTTTTTCGTGCTTCAATGTCTAGAGGGCTAATATTTCGTCAATTCAAAGATAGTTCTTGAAAGCGGCGTTTCTTGCTGGAAAAAAACGCCGCGCCGGCAATGTTTTGAGTTCGATATCTCTGAATATATTGGCATAGTAGCTATAGTGTGTCTACCGTTGGAAGGTCTTGTCTGTTGATCAATTGTAGATCAGTTACAACTTGCTAACCACCGTATCAATCGTCGGTGTTAAGCAACAATGAATGACTAGCTGCATATGGATGACATTAGTGGTTTTTACCCTAAATGCGTTTTTATTGATGGCTTTTTAGATTTGAGATAGGGAATAGTGGGTTGCACCTATTTTGTGGGCTCTATGAAGTTACCCCTAAAATAAATGTGCTATCAGTTCCAGAAGCATTTCAACCAAGCAACAAAACAAACAAACAGAGCATGAAAATTCCAGACCTGAAAATAAAAGCACTATTACTTTAATTTACCATGCAAAATTTTGGAAGGCTTAKTACATCGTATACTTCATTGGTACAATTGATATTTCATCAGTAATTAAATAATATACATAAAATAATCAACATTGACAACCAAAATAAACTGAAAATATACAGTCCTTTCCTTTTTTCATTTTATCTTTAAGAAGAATTCAAGCCGACTTGTTCAACAAATTGCAATTCGTGAACATCTTTTTGAGACTTGGTATTTCCATTTCTTAAAGCTGAAGATTGCATTTGCCTCTTTAGTCATGTTTTGAATCTGACAAAACTCTACAGTAATCAACAAACAAGCAAACCACAAAGAAGTACGAGCTCCCTGCTAATGTTGGGACAGYCATACTACTGAGCAGGCTCCGTAATAGTTTATCAAAATACTCGCCATTGATTAGACTTGAAGTGACATGTGTGTGCATAATTTGAGGGTCGTGGTTTACCTGCATGGACATGTTACTCGCATTAACAAATAACAATCTTCTTAGCTTGTATCATATCTATATAATTCCTATCATTACGACAGCTCATACCAATGATATCTTGCCTAGTAAATCAGGAATAACAGTTCCATCTCTGGATTAAATTTGAGAGCTTAAAAGTTGTGGTTATTTGGCCCAGCCATTATGATTGTGGCTCTGCTGGGACTAGCGTGGTAGTATTAGCTGACTCTTCATTCCCATTTTGTGTTTAGTGTAACCTGATCAGTTCTTTTGTTCGTGGTATGATTTTAGTGTTTGATACAGATCTAATATAATTTGGCTCGTACGATTAGTATGTGGATGGACAGCTGTTTTGGTTTCCAATAAACTACGAACGGCTTTAGAACTCCATCAGTCACGTTCCGAAAGACTCATYCAAGTTCAAACAGAAGCCACACCAACACAACAAGTATTATTCTTCGCCCAAAATTCGATTCAACTTATTTCTGGTTTTTGGACTGAACCATACAAAACACCTACCTTGAGCGAAAAACCAGTTAACTCTCTGTGGCTAGCTCTTGAAACTTAAATCGTCTACGTACAGGCATTGTTACCCCATTGACACCAGTCTAAGCCAACTTCTCCTGACCATAACATGCTGAAACGGCGCGATTCCCATCTCCGTACAGAGTTTCTAAGTCGCCCAGCTGAGCGAAAGGTCTCGTAGTCGATGAAAGTTGACAAGGAGTCTTTACTATTTCGCTTCATTTTTCGTACTCAGGAACTTGGAATTTTCCTTCCAGCAACGCCTTGATTTGGGTCTTCTTTTTGCTTCGTGAGCTCTTTCTTTTCGTTTACAATTTTTTAAAATAGTCAGGCCTATTGCGTTTAAGTGCGCAAGATTTCCTTCTTTTAATCCATACAGGAAAACCTCATTAGCGTTATGCTATTTCTTCATTAAGTTCCTTCCTCGCTACTACTAGGCCTTTTAGTTCGGTCTTGAGGTGATCAACCTGGTCTGAATTCTACGTGTTTTGGCTTAATAGAACACAACCCAGTCCTTAAGCAGTCCAAGCGCCAAAACCCACCAGACATAAACAAAGACTAAAAGAAATCGCAACAAACTGGTGATCACTTTAATAGGTTTAATACAAAGAATTCACAATCAATGTCTATACATCTAATATCCCTCAGCAAGAAGAACTTTGTCTTAAGGTATATGTAGAGATGAAGGCTGTGAGACATAAATTAGAGGGAACTACTTGTGGTCGGAATACTCTAGTCGGGGGCTTTATTGTTTTGGTCTTTCTTATTCCTTTCTAGAGCGCATATGGGGGGTAAAAACATAAATTTAGTATATGATTCGCTACCGGATCTTTTGAAACCCTTGAGCTCCCGCTCGGAAATAGGCCTTAGAAACAACGAAGAATAATTGCTAATTACAAAATTTTCAGGCGAAAGAAAAACTGAACCAAAAAAAATCGCAATTTCGGCATGCCCTTGCAGCTATATATGGTTATATTTTATGGTTAAAACTCCATAGTAAGCCGTCTTGTCATCTCGTAGTCAATGAGTCCCATGGAACCTTTTCTTAAATATTGATAGAATCAAACAAAGGTTTAACGGCAGACAACGAAACGAAGGAAAACAACCATCTCCTTAACGACATTTTCAGGCTTATTCAATATTTAAAACCGCGGTGGACAGAGAAAGCGATCGGTATCTTTAGTGGCTAAATTCTCTCCGTGAATCTTTAAATTGCCCTAGTATTTATTCATCACTTTCATTCATTTGAAAAGTGTTCAATTTGTCAGKCCTCAAGCAAGTTCCAAAATTTCCTACTTCATGTTATTCAGTTGTTGGGTCAGTTTCTCGTGAAATTGGAAGTTTTGTAGAATTTATGTTGTTTCTGTAGAGTTAGTTCGACAGTCCAGCTGCTATGGTCATAGGCCAAGCAGCGAGTGTGTGTGTGTCCCTCACGCTATCATATATTTAGCTACCACACTTTCCCACTGGCACGACAGCCCTTGTAATATTAACCTTTGGAATAAGCTTTTCTCACCTGTTAATTCTACAAATCGGCTAAACATGTACGAATTGGGGTCAAATTTTGAAAAGAATTACTTACAAATCTCTCACCACATTTCTAAAGCCGAATGGTTGCTGGGAAATCGAGCGTTCTGAACACGTGTCCGTGTGTGTAATTTGTGAGACAATTCAGTCGCAATAAGCTTATTTCTTATCGCTATGAAATGCCTCAGGATATGCGAATGAGTTCAACGACAAAAAATTCTGACCTTTGTGTAGCCGACTTATAGGGGAAAAAATCATTATAGAGTTTGAAGAGCTGGAACTGAAATTGAGAACCCTGTTTTCCCTATAGTCAGAACCCGTGTACAGGAATGTCAATATTATGAAATCCTGTCAACCCCGATAGTGCTTGCTGACCAGGAAGGTATTAAATCCAAACTTACTTCATGATTGTTTCCTAGTGAAGTTTTCAATTGCCTTAATGGGATGCATTCATCCAGATTAAAAGTTTGGTACGATCTAAACCTTTGGGGCTAATCGCTACAATTTGGCTGAGCCTTTTTGAACAATGATCCACCGAATAACTTCTTAATCTAATGTCACCTTTCGAGACGATTGCTTCAAGGATACCTGATTTGTTTTCGTCAAAAATAATAATAAAATATTGGTTCGATTTGGATCGTTGGTCTTCTTTAKCTTTGATTATTTTCCAAAGGGATTTTAGGGTCAGTGATTCCGTTGACCGAGTTAGTGCTACGACAGAAAATGGATATCTTGAATAACAGGGCGACAAGCACTGTAGCTCAGATGGGGAATGATATGTAATGAACTTCAATATGGGTACTTGAGTGAACGGTATATACCACTACAAATACACAACCGTTCAACTAGCCAACGACGGTAATGAAATCTGGCCAGACAGGGAGTAGATTGAATCAATCTGTGGAATACAGTTACCGTGTCAGAAAAATCAATTTCTTCCAAACCAGTTTCTAAACTAACGAAGCCAAATTTCTGACCCTGTGACCCAATTTTCGAAGTATTTATATTTACTAAGAAGGCTTGGTGATGTTAGATCGAAAATATTATTATAATTATTGTGTAGTGTTGAAATTTTTATTCCTACGTTTAAATTGATACATCAAAACACCGACACGCTTCACTGTTATTAAGTGTTTATTATTTTGGTTTTTTTAGAATAGAAAAGTTCATCCGACGTTGAATTACAAGCTTTCCTCAAGCCTAGAGATTTTTGACAATGTAACCTTCCGATTGCAAACTAAAACAAATACTGCTCTGCGAATGAAATCACAACGGCTACCTGACTGAAGCGGCCTGAATTACACAATCCAAAAAAACGAGAACTATTGGAGAATTACAACTTGGTTGTTTTGATCAGTTACACCATGTAGGAAGATACCAGCTAGTCACTAGGTAGATAAGCAAAAATATGACACAGAGAAATTGTCGTGGCACTTTAGATTGGCGTTTTACGCCYCCGGTGAATGGAAATTACGAGAAAATCCTAAAGTAAATGAAATAAGACTCTCTCTCGCTTATATCTATGTTATATAATATATCTTTAAAAGTGTGAAATATGAATTGAACTATATATATGTCTCTTCTTCGTATCGTCTATAAAATTCCGTACAATCTGTCAAAGTCAACAATATCTTCTAAGGATTTGAATAAGGGGAAACTAATACCTAAAGTAAATAGTGCTTGAACATTACAAGAGCGATGGTCGTGTTGATGCGATGCTTGCTTTGGAAGTCCGTGCAAAGAAACACCTTGATTTTATTTTCGTCCAAACTTTCTGCAAGGCCCAATTTTCTTCCTCATTCTGAGAGTCTGTGTGAGTGTCATATCGTACATAAATATAATGCGGCGCGACAAGCAGCCGCTTGTTAACTCAACATTCATTCTGGGATATATCTACGACCTTGGAGGTACATCGTAAGAAAGTTTATCTGGAGGACTCCAGTAAGGGTAATGGTGCATTGGACTATGTTCAGCTTGTCGGCTCCGGCACCCAACATTTTGCATTGCTACAGCTCCATACCCACATTGATTATTTACCGGCGTTTGCATTTGCGTGGCGTATTGAGTTCCCGTATAAGTGCTGACAGGAACACCAGATCCCATATTGACATATGGATATCCAGGAGGAACCCTGGATGATGGAGGGTTACATGGGTATGACAAAGGGCCAGTAGGCTGTGCAGATCGTAAGCTTCCCGCTGCTGCTGCTGCTGCCACTGCTGCGCTCTGTACTTGGTTGTAAGTCGGCCATTTGGGTTGTATGTAGTTGTACGGAGCTGCTCGTGGATACGAAGAGATTAGACCATTGTCAGGTTGCAAGGTGAGCTGACGGGATGGTCGTTTCATTCTTCTACGTCTTCGGTAATTCCCTTTTTCAAACATATCCTCACATGCAGGATCTAATGTCCAGAAGTTGCCTTTTCTTTCACCGCCACCTTCACGAGCAACCTTGATAAAGCATTCATTCAGTGACAAGTTATGCCTGATTGAGTTCTGCCAGCCCTTGGTATTCTTTTCATAAAATGGAAACTTTTTGATAATATATTGATAAATCTGATTCAGAGTTAACCTTTTCTCTTGGGAATCTCGGATTGCCATCGCGATCAGAGCCACATAAGAATACGGTGGCTTCACACTTGCGTCTTTTGTAGGATCCTTGCTTTCAGTTTTTACACAGTCTGAGGGACTCGATGCTACATCTTCCTTCTTCATGTCTGAATCGTGGCTGTGCATCTCTGGTTCATGGGTCGTCGAGGACATAGCGCTTGTGTGTGACACAGTTAATTCTGAAGTGTTGGAGTACGTTCTGCGGCAATAATATATAAATTAGAAATTCAAAAGACTGTTTGGTGTTTGTCTTGAGATGTGACACATGATTGGTCGTACTATTCATTATCTATCACTTTCTATAAATACACTGACATCACGCTAGCTATTGTTCGACGAGCCAATCATTAAGCACTTTACAAAGCGCCAATTGATTCATTTATTTGTCTGCTTGCACTGCGACCACCTACCCGGACAGCTGCCTCTCATCCGTTTAGCCCCTTAATTGTTTCTCCCTATTCATTTTCATTATTTACTTCGTATTTTCAAGATTTCGATGTACTCTCTCCACACACAGGCTCACCGCAACTGCTCGAGAACAGCTCAGACATAGCTAGCGTATTTACACCTTAGGTGTGAAAATATTTAGCCGTTATCTTAACTGAAGAAGCGAAAAGTGAATTTAGCCCTCCACACCCAGAGTTAACACCTGGCCAACAATTGTACCAATCACCAACGAGGATAGGACAGATGAAAAGTATTGAAAAGCACAAAGCTATTCGCATGTCGTCTAGGCGAACTGAAGCCTATTTACCTTTAATTATAAGATGTAGATTTTATTTTTTATTATGACAAACTTCCCGCTGGGTCGCTTTTCTGCTGATAATATTGCCTCACGCTGTGGGCAAGCACTAGCCWACATCATACAAATCCGCATTTCTAGTTTCCTTCAGATAAAAGACATGCTAGAATCTATGCTTTACAACACCTGGATCGAACGTTTTTACAATCAAGGCAATGTTGGAAATCTTTCCCAATAAAGCGCTTGGTCCATTTGACAACATACTCTTAGTTACGCACCAGTTCATTTTCCATCCTCAAATGAAAAAATTCTTTTATATAAAACTCTAGGTCAAATGCCTTGGAGCCTAGGATCAGCGTACAAATATCCTTATAACTTGTGATTAGTCTAGTATAAGACCAGTCCCGCTGTTTCAAATCATTCATAAACGGGGTTATTTTCTTTCGTCATAATTGTAACTCGGAGTGACCCCACCATCTCCCAACACATCAATGACTATATACACAATACTGATTTTTTTCCAGCAAGTGTGCACGGTATTTCACCCTGTTTAATTTTTATGTGTGTAGTTTCAATGTTTACTCAATCAAATTGTTATAGATTGATTGTATTTTGGTAAACAATGTCTTTACTCGTGTAACTCGAATGCTATTCTTCACAAAAAAATCTCACGCGAAAAGAATCGTAAACGCAATCAATAAAAATACTTAATAGTAAATTTTTCATTCTAAGTTCGCTTCGTGTTAAATAAGAAGTTTAACAGCAAATAAACCGACAGCTTAATGTTTGGTTTTCAAAAGTACATTTTATAGTGAAATCCAATCAGTCAATATTGATAATACTCTTGAGCCAAAATGGGAATCTTATGCGATTAACAAATTCACGAGCTCCTTGTCCGTCCGTCCATCAATAGATCATTGAGCTTGTTATCACGTTTGACCCTCTAATTTTGACAAGTCTCAAAGCTAGCGTGACTTGAAGAATCCCCTAAAATTTCTTTTATTCCTTGGCTTTTCTTTAGCGTTTTTATTTCGACTGCCAAATTGATTTTTGTCTTTTGTTAATTGTCTTGCATATTTGTGGGAAGTACTTGCTAGTGCGATGCTCGCTTCCTGAACTTTAATTTCGTGTTCTTATACTGCTTTTTTTTTTCCATGGCCTTTTTTTTTTTTTTTTTTTTTTTTTTTTTTTTTCTTCTTTTCTTTATGACTATCAAAACCGATTTCCCTTTGCTCGTTCGTGATTGGATGTCAAACGATTTATGGGCCTATTACGAGACAATACGATCAAAATCCTTTAAGATTACTTCAGTGCTATGCTAGTGCTGCCTTTATGGAATAATTCCATGTTTCGCCTGTACGACGCCGGGTTAAATGCCGAGCTAACGCAACGATGTTTATACTTGACACTTTCAACACTGGCTTTTCACCAGCATGGGCGATAATCTTCCACCTAATTTCGAGCCATTTCGAAACTTGTTGAGAGGCATGCTGATAGTGTGCCCTTTGGGTTATCTCTTCCTACTACTCCTACAACCTGTGTTTACAAACTAATCAAGAATACGCAGCAGGGAGGTGATTATAGATTCATATTATTCATGGACTGCTAGTATATTAGTGTTGACAAGCCCTTTGGCTATCCCATTCTAATTAACTCGTGTACTTTGGCTTAACTTTATCTATGTGTTCCGAGCCGACTTAAAAACCTACCAAGCGCTAAATATGTCCTTTTTGCGCTTAGCACTTGTTTTATAGACACTAAGTAATGGCGGCGTTTTGAAGTGGAGTATTGTATTTGTCCAAATCATTAGAAAACTAGTGATTTACCCTCTTTCTTTAGACAGATTTTTATCACTCGGCTGTTTGGGTTAAGGATACAAAACCCAGTCGAGCAATCATCACTGTGTACTTGAAAATATTTCACTTTATCAATTGGTTAGCCAAATCGCTCTCGAGAAAGATAAGCTTAGCTGACTTAAAACTCGATGATAAATAACTTGAAGATTCCTACAGGACTGTGATTTCAGCTTTTCTTTACTTTTTTTCTTCCTTTTTTGAACGCACACAATCATTTTCTCGTTATCAGATCGTTTTATCACTGACAACAGGAAGATAGCGTCACTTACATAAAAGAACTGTTAACCCAGCCATTTCGAAATGTCAATTCTTGAATGAACTGGTTTGCCCTAGACACAACTGACGTTGAGACTGTTTGATACCGTGTTTGTTTATGATATTCTTACTTGGATATCTATGTCACTGCCAGTTTTTCCCCAGCATGACGAGAAACCGCATATCTCGCTTGTCACATTAAAAACAATAAACAAAAATAGTCCCAAAAGATCTACATTTTTAAATACATCAAAATCCTTACAGCAAAGCAAAGCAAAAATCAATAATCCTTGGAATATAACAATTGTCACAGATTCTTACAATAATTATCAACTCTTTGAAAACGAATGCAGATTTGACAAATCTGCTAATAACTTTTATTGGTTCGATTAATTTTTTCAAGAATACCCTTTTGATACGACGATTTTCTTCATTGGATTTTACTAACTTTAATCAAAAATTAATCCCCTACACTGGATTCAAACTATCGGCTCTATGCTTATTCTTCTATCAATACGAAAATGACCATGACCAAATCAAGTGCTTTTAAAAATAAATAAACTAAAACCACTAAATCTACTCCAAAACAAGATAGGATCAAAAAAACTGTTCCCTTTTCTTGCTTGTTTATTTTGGCTTTCAGCAGAAAAAGTACCTGAGATAGACATTCAAAAGGTTACAGAGATATTCGCACCACTTGGTAAAGCTAAAAAATTCCCAACAGGTTGCAGAATTGTGAAAAAATTAATAATTTCTGGTTCATTCTTCGTGAAATTAAAATCTTAGTCCAATTGAAAATGCTGAAATTGTGATTAGTTGAAATAAAAGTYGATAGAATAGCCTAGAATGATCTATACGGTTGAACAGGAATACGACTCATTAAGATGAATCGTGTAGGTTGTACCAAGGCTGTTTTGGAAAATCTAGTACTTAAATCAATACCACATTACAAATATGGCACCAAATAATAAAAATGTTTGTAAATATTACAGTCGGTAAGCCAAACACGGGTTTAAACATCACAAATCTTGTAGTCGTTTCCGTTTGAGCGATGTGGCCTTGGGGCTTTTGTGAGACTCGCCAAGTGTTTGGAGATTTACCGGCCCTAACCAGAACACTACAAGGAGCCCATTGAAAAACTAACTAACTGCCACACTTGAGTTCTTGTTCACTTGATATATGGTGGTGTGGTGTGAATAGGATAATACTTATGGTACAGCAGTTTGTTTCATTATGATCAAGAGCCTTCTTTGACCATGTGCAAAGGGTTGTGTTCGGCAGGTTGAGCGACTAAAAGAGCCATTGTTCTACTGATTGGAGTGGTTCCTTCCATTGTCTTCATTCCCATTAAGCATGCCATAAAAGAAGCCGGCAAATGAAAACACAATAAATGTAGTTCCGAATGAGCCAAATTTGCCCAACTACTTCAAAAGTAAACTCCAGAACAAACATCCAGCAACGACTAAATACTACGCAGTTTCTACCGGAAATTGATTTTTTCAATCAGAAAATGAAATCTTCAATATTTTGGGTTGGCTGGACTTTTTTCCTAAGGTAAACGAATTGATCTTTTGGGTCTCAGCAGAAAAACGCTTAAGTATAGTAAAATATAGTTTTTTTACCTGAACATGTTGGGCCGTTGGACTCTTCACGTAAAATACTTGTTTTCCTACAACAGCACACAGAAAACTCAAGATCACAATTTTTTCTCAGCTGCTTTCTACCGAAGACTTCTTTAGTCGATTATGAATAATTTAGCCCTGAGCCCGAGGTGATTCATACCATGCAAACTTCTCCCTAATCCTCCTAAAAACCAGCAAAATGACCTGCCAATTGAGTCCAGCGTTTTAGGAAGAGGGTTCGCCTCGAGTATCCTGGAGTGATCAAAATTGTTCCTTAAATGCACTCTATGTGCCAAACAGCATGAGCAAGACGCTAGTAAAAGTCCGAGTAAGTGATCAGAAATTAGAATCATTGCTGATGCCTTCACGCTGTGAGCACACAGGTGCGGCTATGAAATGTTTTGTCCATTTCTTCTCTATTAGCATTCCGGCGGGAAATTGATTCATAACTTGCGTCAATTTTTCAGGAATACAATTTTGAGAAACCTGCTGATCCAATAAAGAAACAGGAACGAGTTCCAAGCATTTCTGTGGCACTTGGACTTAATTTCATCAATGGCAAAAAGGGAACTTCCCCATCACCATTTGAGAAGAAAATAATAGTAGTAAAATTGCCGGAATTCAAGCTAACAAAAAATTCTCAGTCAAATCTCAGTCAGCACCGTGGCGTTTATGCTTCTAGTATGAGTCACAAAAAAATTCTTTGCTCAAAAAGTTGTGTGTTTGTATAGACTAATTATAAAGTGTCAAACTCCAGACAGGTTGCTTTTAGCTTCGGAGGATCATTTTGTCGTTCTTGTCAATATTAGTTTACAATTAGCTGACAAAAATTCGCTAACATTTACGTTCGATTTTTATATCTAATTATTAACAAACAAGAAAAACACTCGTAGGCATCTAAAAGCTCCCAGTAATCGAACCATCAATAAATACTCACACAAGGGGTGTTTCGGGATCTTCCTTCACTGGATGTCTTTCAACACTTTATGATAGCGAAACAGTCTTACACGTGTAAATATATAGACTCTCCAAGACCTTACCCCACTCCCCCTAAGGAATGTTGGGACAGATTACAAGTACGGTGATAAAACGGATAAGTACACCAATATATACGGAAAGTTATCAAAAATATCCTAGACTGGATTTGGCTTGTGATATGATATAAACACTACCTTAACTATGTATTGGACAATGTACGAGTAGTTTACATTGATTCCTCACACTTTAGCAATAAATTATATCAACTGATTCCACTAATGTGCATTATATTTGTTATCATTATCATTTGAAAAGAAAATTACTCCTTTTTTAGTGAAATGAAAGCAAGTCAAAGGAAAAAGGGAGGGACGTTTCAACACATCGAAACAGGACCAATATCTTTATCATCAGTTGATGGATTTTAGTACTTGAGATCTTGGAAAATAAACGAAAAGAAACGTGATAGCACTGGATATCATCCCGATTACACAATTTGAAAACGACACTATCTTTTAGTCTGACAAGAGAGGAGATTTGTTATTATGTCTTCATCACGGCCAGCTATCGATGCAACTCCGACTTCATTCCCCGATAAACTCTGTACTCTGTACATTAATCAAAACATTCTAATAAAAACATAGATTTGTCTTGGTTTGCTTCTTCAAAAGCTGGTTTCCGGTCTCTAGTGAGATGATAAGGTACCATCCGATSAACAGAACATGATGATCATCTGATTACGATAAAGTTATCTGAATGGGTTCGTGTTTTCTCAAGCTTCTGGGAGACAATAAAGCCATACTCGGGTTAGGTTTACCATCAAGTGCTTGTTTATTCAACTTGTAAAAACAGTCGAAATCTTCGACTCAAATGGACTAATCGTTTGGAATTTGCGGTTCTTATCAGATATTACACTTTGGGGGCCTAGATCAGTTCCTTAGTTTGCAGAAAAAGACTTCACAAATCAGCAATATCGATAAACTCGTTTCCGGAATTTCAACTCAAAGGCAAAAAAAAAGGTTTGATGCTAAAATTGAGGGTAGAATTTGGTGTACCGAATGTCATCGCCATTTTATTTAAATTTTCCATAAATCAGTCATTCAGTTTGCAAATTTGTTTAGAAGAAAAACTTTAAGCTCAACGTGGTCGATCTCGTGTTGCTTTCAGCATCTTGTTTTTTCGGTTGTTTCTGTTTTTACTGACAGTGCTGTAAGACAAGTCCAATTCGCCAAGACAAGTGAAACAAATGTTACAGATATTGTGATAATTGTGTGGGGGAAAAACACTTTACAAGTATTGAATCCATTCGAAAAATGTATGGTAAAAAATCGTTTAAGGACTCAATAAAATGTCTTTGCGCAATTTCTACGCTGAATGGCTGGTGCAATCTTACTGGGTGGGCCTTTTGCTACAAAGAAAATGATATGATATTTTTAGTCCTGGCCAGTACTAGTAGCGCTCATTAGGAGGTAAATTCACAGGCAGGTTTGACTTGAGACACTATCTATTTCACTGATAGCGATAACCCCAAAATAACCCAGGTACGACGGACAAGGATTCGATTGTCTAGCATGGATAACCGTCAATAAGAAAATCACACCAAGGACGCCCAACCTCTTGCACTGGTACCCACTGGGAAACAGTATTCTTCAAGCAAATTAAAGCTATCAGGTCCTACATTGTTCTTGCGTACAAAAAATTGATAGCACAAAACGGACAAGAATTTTCCCACGGCCAAAATTTCCAGGCTAGCGTTCACCCGTTAAGACAAAATTACAATGTAGAAACATATATAGCAGCGATGTATAGCACCCGCTAAGCCCAAAATACCATCAGCAGAACTCGAAGAATAACGAGTATTATAAAGTATTGGTTGTCATAATATTTGCTTATTTGATAGCTATTTGCTTTGTTCGCCACTTTGGGCCGAATAGCTCAGCGAATATCTCTTTAAACCGGTTAAATCAAATGTCACAATTTGGTGTGCGGAATATACTTAGTTAGGTCCGTGAAATATGGGCTGCCTGACATCATGGTGATCTTGTTATATTATTCGTTGATTAAACCATGAAATACCCTTTGATTACAAACATTTTCAGCCGACATTTAAGAGCAAAACGTTTTACTTGTGCTCGGGTCAATTTGTTTTTTGTCTTCGACACAATTCAATATTTTCCCGTTTCATTAAGTATATGAATTCCCAAAGGCCTGTCTTTTTGGTTCAGTGTATTGATGTATTTTGACTACAAATTTTGTGGTTAAATCATACTTGGTCTAAGTGCTTCCCCTGCATCGACCAAAACATTTCACTTCGACTTTCAGTCTTCCCCTAAAATCACAGCCCTTTCAACCGTTCCCCCTATACGAGCACGTAGAAGTAGAAGTTCTGAGAAACTCCGATAGAGAATTACTGGCAAACACAAAGAAATTTAGAAAACACTGTCGTTGAAGCATCTAAACGAAACGAAAACTTCAGGTTCGAAATATAAGGCCATAAAACTCTGTCTCGTCATAAAATGGCTGAGGACATCAGTTGATGTCACCACGTGTTTTCAAGTGGTTAGTATCTTCTTCACAAAGTCYACACAGGTATGAGACGATAGATATACAGGTATCTGATTAAAATCCCACTGTTCGTTTCATCTAGTACAAATAACCTACTTTAATCTACATTAAAGGACTTGAAGGAAATGGACATGATTTGCTTTCTTTAAAAGTCGAATTGCACGAAAGATTTTCAATCATGTTTTTCACCATAATTTAATAGTCGGCCAAAAACTCGCCGCTCTGTCTACACCWCAAAAAAATTATGTTCCATGCGGATTCGTGGTAGTTTAACAAGTTCATACGCAATGGAGAAAACACTAGGCTTTTAAATCGCAATCCTAATATCACCCGTATCGAGGATTAAGAGACTGATTAGAAAATAAAAAATATATTATATTCATTTATCGCGTGAAATACAAATTCAAAATAATTGTATACTAAATCTCTTTGATCGAAGTTAATGAGAGATTGAAAAAAAAACAGTGGTGAGAAATTGGAAGAAATGAAAAAGCGAACAGACGTGGCTAGGTTTCCACAAAGACATAAAAAATTCATGAAGATTCGCATCAAATATGAGCAAATTTTATCAACCTGGTTAATGTCTGATGAGAGAGCCAATGGTCTTCAAAATCACTACAAATATTTAGATTAAATTTACCACCGTTTYGTAAACAACTTCGAATGTAAATGACATTGTAGAAGCTTTGCCTTGAATCAAGTGAAAGCCCTAACTAAGCAGTTTGATATTTCAAAGAATAAAAAATTGGTTCAAACTTAAGATTTCTCTACTAGCTTCGGTACAGGAGGAGTTGACGGCAGGAAAATGTAATTAGTAATTAAGAAAACAAAGATTGGGCGTCGATGTAAGAGTGGYGAAATGCGGTCTCTAGGTTGATTACTTAAACCATTATTTTCGCTAGTTAAAAGTAGAGTTTGTTTGACCTCATTCATCAGCACGAGAGAACAAAATAGATGGTCACTTTGCACTGGGTTGACAAGTTTTGATAGAGCTTTTGTTTGTCTAAGTGAATCATCAAATATTTGATTTCAGATGGACGGGATTATGTTAAACACTTTGGTATATAACATCAGCAAATATATCACCCAAAGAAAATAGAGCTACTCTATTTACTCTAGCTACATAAACAAATTTACCTTTTTCCCTAGCAATGTTTAGAAAAACTAAGAATGTTTTCGTCAAAATCGAGACCAAGTTAATAGTGAAGTAAGAAATACCTACCACGAAAAGCTGTCTTGATGTCAAGTATAAGAGGTGATGTTCACTCGGTTGCCTTGCTTGGAATTGAGTGCTGGCTGCCACCACTGGCTTGGCTCTTAAATCCTAGAAAATATCGCTGAAATATTCATGAGCAGGGATTGATTTGATATCGCTTCAATGGTATTTTATTTGTTCGAAACAGTCATCAAATATTCAGTGTATTTTTCGACCGCTTTTCCAATAGGATTTGTAAACAATAATATGAATTAACTGCTTGTACCATGGGTGCTGTTTCAACAGTTATGGCACCTACTAAAACAACAATGAAAGTTAAACCCGGCGATTTCCTCAAGATGAACGCGTCTAAGGGTAGACATTAAGTATTAATTCGATTCGATTTCTTTTCAAAACTTATTAGATCCTTTGAAGGGCTAACAAGAGAATTTAAGAAGAGTATAATAGACTTATCTGGCAGCCATTAACTGCGGAAAGCACTATAGTGTAAGAACGAGTTTAATAAAAGCTGTCAAGAAWAATAAAGAAATGCAATTTAGTTGGCAAATGCTGCAAGGGCCTATCTAACTTGACTGAAAACCACTTATTATTATGCACCTGATTTGAAAAGTTAAACAATGTGCACTTCAACTACGATCATT